GATCCTGGAGGGCCCTGCCAGCCCCGGCCATGCTGGGATTCTGGGATTCTGTGACCGGGTGCAAGACCCTTGCACGAGGGCTGGCACCGCCTGCTGCACGACACGCTGGGTCATTTCTTTTCCAGCCAGCAGGATCCTGCCCTGGCTGCTCGCAGGTGGCTCCCACCCGTGCTGGGAGCAGGGAAAGCCTTTGCAGGGGCAGCCCCAGGCAGCGGCCGAGCGCCGGGAGCGGGGCCGGGCTCACCTTGTAGTCATAGCCGGCGCTGAAGAGGATGTTGTTGGTGGTGGGGTGCCACTCGACGAGGCCGACGCGCCGGCTGTGCCCGTACAGCTCCAGGACGGCCTCCGTCATGTTCCTCTTCAGGCCACCCTCGGGGATTTCCCAGATCCGCACCTGCGGGACAGGGCAGGCGTCGGGATGGGTTTGGGAGCCCCGGGAGGACCCCGACACCCACCCAGGGGGGTTCCGAGCTGCTGAATCCTGGCAGTGCCCTGATGCCAGCGGCCTCATCCTGCACCCGAACGCAGGTCCCAGGGGTCGATCCGGTCCCCTGTGAGGGCAGGGCAGGAGCACGGAGAGCCCATCCCATCAGCCCGACAAGCACCGGGGGAAAAGGGTACCCCAAAAAAAGGCAGCGGTTTCACCCCTGGAATGTGGGTGCCGAGGAAAGGGACCCGATGGAGCCGATGCAGCGCTCCCAGGGGCAGTGGGGCCAGGGGAGGCCCCCCCGCTGCCATCAGCCTCGCCGGGAGCTGCCGCCCACCCAGCGGGGAAAACCTGCGCTAAACCCAAGCCAGAAAAGCCTCTGCAGGGAAGGTGCTTGCTGAACAAAAGGAGGCGACGTGCCGGGGCAGAATAAGGCTTCTATAGCATCTCCTCTTCAATTAAACAGCTCCAGATAATGCCACCAAGGAGCGGTTACAGATGCTTTCGTCTCCATGGCAAGCCACCGGGCCAAAGACGCGGTGTGCTTATCGGAGCTGCCTCGCTCCGTGCCCGAGCGGCCGGGACCCATCCGAGCAGCGAGCCCTGGGGTCCCGCCGGCCCTGCGCCTTCCCGGAGCCACCCGAAGCCCGGCAGCGTTTGGTGGTGGGTGCACGTCCCCGCGGTTCAGGTGAAGGGGTGAAACGACCGAGCTCTGCCCCCTCATCTCCTCCCCACGGCGGG